TAAGATGCTGATGTAGCCCCCATGAATATGTGACCCTTACTGTGTTTGCAGGTGAAGCAGTAATCGCAAAAAAAAGAGTCTGTCATGTTTTGGAGCCATTAATTAGTTTTGGAAGTTGTTTTTTTTTACAAAAAAGTGGGAATTTAACAAAAGTCATGTTTCCAGTTGTGGCTGTATTCTTTTTTAGCAACTGACACCTTTTAGTTTTCCAAGGTCAGGGTTTGTCACAACATTGGCTAAAATCTTCGTGAATTTCCACCTGGAGTGAATTTTCTCTCCAAGTCTCTACTGTTACAGCATTATTTTCTTGTCATTTCAAAAAGCCTTTTACCTGTGTATTGCACATACTTTAAAAAACCCATGCATTTTCTGTGCCTATTTATTCTGATTTAGTTTAATGGGCCTTATAAATTGAAAGAGAAACAATCCACAATTTTCAAGCTCGTATGATCTGATATTTTTACAATAGATTTAAAATTGACATAACTGGAAGTCAATTTCTCCCTGGAGATCAATAAAGTATATTCAATCAATAAACCGAATACTAATATTAAGTGATACACTTTGTAAAATACTTTGTAAATCATTAAGGTCAAAAGCAACATTTTCATTTTTGGAGGAATGGGGAGATAACTTTTCTTGTAAGCTTTTGTACCGTAAAGTAATTTAAAATGAATGTTGCAGATAATATAATGTAATTCAACTGGCAATGTGTCGCTCCAATCTTCAATCCTTCTGTCCTCCAAATAAAATGTTGTCACCTGCTGAAAGTGACCACAAGAAAATATAAAAAATGTTTTTATCTAATGCCATCTACACAGAAATAGTTTCATGTGCATTAACGTGACAAAATAGAGTAAGTTATTTTTTGGTGGACCTAAGTGTGATAATAGTGTTATCATATCATATGATCACAAGGTGCCTAATGTAATACAAATTCCAAGTCTGTGTGTAACAATTATACTTGCTGTGTGGTTTCAAAGGAACACTTTACAGGTTTGTCTGTTTTCAAGAAACTCTTGAAGACCCACCTCTTCAAAGAGCATCTCCTATCCTAACCCTAACCCGTACCTCTACCCCCCCACAGCTCCTTCTGTAGCCCCTCTACCTCTATCTCTATCTCACCACTGACTCTGATCAGTGTTTCTGTTCTATATAGTTTATTGTCATTGTGATGAGAAATGTAATATTGTGTCTACTCTGTAAGTCGCTTTGGATAAAAGCGTCTGCCAAATGCATAAACATAAACATAAACATAAACATAAACATATAGCTTAACAGTGAATTATTATTCAAAGTTAAATTGTTAAAGATGTAAACAAATAAGGTTATTGCTACTGTGTTAAATTATGTCTCAGTGATTGCATTATGTGAGACCCTTTCAATTGTGAAATTTCCCTTTTAATTCATGACGATTTATATAGACTTGCTTACTTTCCAATTAATTGTGTGTCTGCAACTGTGACATTTCGGCTGGTTTATTTATTTGCTTTGTCACATATTAGAAGCTGCAGAATCAACATTTCTAAATGACATAAATCTAAATTTGGAGGCACTAAACGTCAGTCTGTTGCAACAGAAATACATGCGGAAAAATCAAAGATATAAGTTAAACACTGATATACAAACATCCATCCATTATTGTTACTGCTTGTTCCCTAATGGGGTTGCGGTGAGAACTTGAGACAGTGGTCAATGGGCTAGAGTCTGTCTGCTATTCCATCGCAGGGCCACACACATGACATACAAGGACAAACAACCACACACACTCACATTCACTCCTAAGGGCAATTTGGAATGTCCAATCAACCTAACATGCAGGTTTTTGGACTGTGGGAGGCAGCCGCAGAACCCAGAGAGAACCCACGCAGACACAGGGAGAACATGCAAACTCCACACAGAAAGGTCCTGGGACCCCCGGGACTCGGAACCTTCTTGCTGTAAGGCAACGGTGCTAACCAACACACCACCTTGCCGCCGATATACAAACACACATGTACAAATGCACAAATGTGATTTATTATTAAACTTTTACTACTGCATTCATCCAAAAAATACTTAAAGCTACATGATCCGTGTACTTGTGTCCTGCATAATAAGGCTGAGGTGATGGTGAGTTTTTATTGTTTTTTAACTGAAAGCTATGTGCTAGCTTGCGCTTTTAGTGACATATGTCTTCATTTGTGAAGGCTCAGCTTGAGCTACATTGGAATTGCTCAGTTTCCCCCATGAGAATTCTCAGGCAGTGCACAGGAAATAAAAGGAAATGCCAAATTACTTGTAATTCCATGACTGATTTCATTATCTCTGACACTAGAAAAATAATAATAATGTAGGCCTGATAAAATAAAGATTTTCAACATACAAAAACAAATACAAAACAACATTACTCAACTATAAAGCTCTGAATTTATCCTAATTATTTTTTTATTCAAGAAAATATATTGCTATATAGAGGCAATGACTGTGGAGCAGAAGACGCAGAAGCAGAGGAGGAATCACAGTTCAGTTCAGGGTGGGCTCGAAACTCAGATTATCCTGTGATGAGCTGAGTGCTTGTCAGGACATAGAGGTCGTCGCCTTGATCCTTCTCCTCTTAACTAAGGTGCATCTTGACAAGGCAATCACCCCCTCCCAATTCTACCCAAGTGTAATTATATGATAAGTTCATATTTGAGGGACAATTGTGAGGCAGTTGGTCAAAGAGCGATGTCATGGAGAGCTGCTGGCGTGACGAATACCCTTATTAGCACCCACGTTGCACCCTGTCAGGAACAGGGCTGACCAGGAGTCTGTGTGTGTGTGTGTGTGTGTGTGTGTGTGTCTGTGTGTGTGTACATGTTTGAGTGAGTGTAAAGCAGAGAGGCAGAGAGGTTCTGTTATGTGGGTTCAAATACCTTTCTATAGGACAGAATATAAATCCAAATATATGCACATGTACACATCAAATACACACTGATGGTAATGTTTGACGATATCCCCACAAAGGGCATATGGAGGTAGAAGGGACATGCACTCCACCGTATATCTCCCTGTAAATCAATGAAAGATGATGTGAGCTCTGCATCCCAGCTGTTTGATATGCAAACGGTTTTTCTATGTAAATGCGTCTTGACAGCTTTAGATGCACAATTCAAGGTCCAAGTGTACTGAGGGAAGCGTTATGAAACATATATTTATATAAATCTACCATAAGTGGCAAGGAAACAATTTAGACAAGAGGCTTGTTATAGGTACTACTTTCCTATTTGCTCCACTTCTACCACCACTGCCTGCCCCAAGTACCATTCATTTATTTAATTCTAATTAAGGTATAATTTTTAAAAAGCATACAATAAAAATCCCCTGTGGTCTCAATATACCTTCAGCTATTATAAAAGGATTGGCAAACATTCAATTTTTTTTTCTTTTTTTTTCTCCAAAATGCCTTCATCAAAACATTATACCGAAAAGCATTTTTTGTTTTGTTTTTTCTGCTGTAAGTGTAAGACACATCCCCTCACAAACCTTTCATGGGGTGGATATTTAAGTGTGCGCTTGCTTTAATCCTGTGTGTGAAGCTCAGTGTAGTGCAGCCCTGCTCTCAGCATGACTCCCATTGTGGCGTTCATTCATTGTGTCTATGGAATAAAGCTGCCTCTGTTGTTGCCTCTGTTGTCTAGCCAGCTTCCTGCTTCAAACACTGCCTGGCTGTTCTGTGAAGATCTCCCTCCTCCCATCCTGCTTTTCTCTAAATCTTGGTCTCTCTTGCTCTGTCAGTCAACCTCTCATCTCAATTGTTTTCCTTGTCTTTTAGGTTTGTCTGAAGCCTTCGTACTTAATTCAACAACTACCACGCCTTCTTTCTGGTCCAAAAAAAATAAACTTTCTCTTTTGACCTCAAGAGTTTTTAATCTTTTAAGGGAGGAGGGGTAAAGGAGGCAAAAGGGATGAATTAAGAAACTTAAGAGAATAAAGGAATCATTAATGGAACAAATAGTAAATAAGTATCAGGCATTGTTCAGGATTCCATTTGACTCCCTGTCATTTTTGTCCTGTTACTTGAGCTAATATAAAAGTGCTAATGTTGATTTCTGAATCAAAAAAGAAAGATAACATGTAACACACACACCAACACAAACTTGGAAAGTGTGTCAAAATGTTTACCATGTGATGCTTATTGCGGCAAACGCCCCCTTTACGTCAGCTGTTTGAGCGTGAGTACGAAGTGAAATCAATCACAATAAGGTGAGAGAACTTCCTAGTTTGAGCTGAAGGACTGCAGCGTGAAATACAAAGTTTGCCGTTCTACCCGGGCGTATTTGTATTAGGAAAGCAAAGAATTGAACAGACAGCCGGTAGGCTCGCGTTTAATCAGAACTGACTCAAACAATGTGCAATATAGTAAATGTTTGTTTTGTTTGGTTTGGTCTTTTAAGGTTTTTCACCTACTAATAATTAATGATTAACTGTAAATAACACAAGAAGAAAAATAAAAGGAAAAGATGGAACAACAGTCTGGTCATTGAGTGGGAAACCAGTTTAAAGTTAATCTTGGTACAACCCTTCAAGTGTGGGACTAGCACAGCAAAGACGTAAAACACTTAACAATGCTGTTTGTCTTTCAGAGACAATAAGAACAGGAGTAGCAGTAAAAGTATTGTGCTCCACTTCAGACATAAGGTTAATAAATCATGGTTGGAGAAGCTTGTAAAATGTAACTTTATATAATTTCTGTGTAAAGGTCAATGCTCTCATCCTTTGGAAGTAATTTACAGATTAAGACTAAGTGTTATTTTTTCAACTCTAATCTAACACGTGCTTTTTTATGTATGCATGCACATGAATTCATAGAAAAATTATGCAAGTTTAACTGTTTTTATTATTAGGCCTTTATGTTTTTTTGTCATTTACATGCATACACTTGTACAATGTGTTTTATGGAATTTCTTTGATCACACATGACCGAGGGACCCATGCACAGACACGATTTTTTTATCATTTTTTTCTTATCATTACAGATTCCAGGACATGAAAGTAGGCATTTGTGAAATAATGGAAATTTACTTCATGTCACAGTTAACCATTTGTATTTTTTATGTTCATAACAGTCCCATTCATCTAATGCAAAGCTGCTACTGTATGAATTAGCTGAATCTGCACAGTTTAATCCTCTGATAGGAAAAAAACACTGAGAGCACATGCTTCAGTTGGAAGAATGGTGTGGCTAAGCTTGTCAGCTAATTGAATAAGCTGTGGGACGAGGGGATAGGTGGCAGAACTATCCCTAAGACAGTTGGGAAATTCAACAACATCACCCTGAAATTTCCCCCAGGGAACTAGATACAGTTTAAGATACACAAACCATAAGGCACTAAAGTAAGCTTTACAGGAGGCAAGAAGAATAGACTATTTCAATATTGTTTTTCTTGGATTCTTTGGATTTCTTGTTTTTACAATTCATACCCAATGCCAGAGGGATCTTAGATTAAGTTGCTGTTGTGCTTTTGCGTTACAGTAGTTTGATGTTGTCTATTGAGAATAACAGTCATAATTTTGATGCTGGTCATGTACAGTTCATGGGTATATTATTATCACAATTGCGTGGTTTAGATCATTATTTGATATTTGAATGGAATGCACATTATGTGACTAGGTCATATGTATGTGTTGTCAAATGTATTATAAGCCCATTAAGCTTGTAAAAAAATGTTGGAAGCTAAGAGGTTGGATTTTATATTATATATTTACAGTGCTTATTGGTAATATGAATGAATGGACTTGTTTATGTGCATTTGCTTGTTTGCAAATCACATGTTGGATGTTTCCAGTTTTTTTAAATCATGCCATGCATTCATGTCTATCCAGTTACTGCTATTCTTGCAGGTGGAGGTGTTGCTGCATTATAAACAATTGTCATCATAGAAACAATATTCCTGAAACGGCTCAGGTCCTTCAATCCCTGCAAAGACGTGCTGTCCATGTTCTCTCACACTGTCAGTGGGAGCGCACTTTTTCTATGTTGTTGCCTGTTGGGCCAGTGGGCCCACAGACAAAAACTTTAGGTGTCTGGACAAACTCATGAAAAAGAGCAGAGGGCTGGAATATTCTGTATAGGAGTATAATAGTTCTCCCTTTTAAAGCATCCAGCAGGTAAGAAGAGCAGTTGTAGTTAAAGGCTCATTTCACTGCAGCGACTGCAAGATCCAGGGAGGCCTTTCTTCCAACAGCCATAAGGCTTTTTATTTATTTTATTTTATTATTGTGATTATTATTGATTTGATCTTTTTTATTTGTTTGTTTTATTTTTCCTTTAATATTAAGTAATTGAATATATATATATATATATATATATATATAGAGAGAGAGAGTGTGTGTGTGGGTGTATAAGTTTCTTCAAACAAAGTGGGGACCAACTTGTAGTTTTATTTTCTAGTTTACCTTAATCCTGATGTGCCTCCTCTTGGGCTGTTTAATTCAGGAACCAGGTTGCGGTCTCAACTCTTGATGGCTTCTAAATAACTAGTGTAAAGGCTATGGTAGTAATCTTTCAAGACAAAAAAAATACCCCCATTTCACCTCTCCCCTGTCCTGTTCCTCTTCTCAGAGAAGCCTGTCACATGCACTTTTGCTGTGACGGCTGACGGATCGGGCCAATACATTTGTCTCAGGGCACTCCACTATGTATTGTTAATTTAATGCATGATGACGTGACCAATTACAGCAGGCCTGCACGCTCAAATAGCATGTCAAAACCTGTGTATCAATCTATTAGGTCCCATCTCCTTGCACATTACAAGGTACCTCAAAGACCCTTTCTGGCTCTCAAGAAAAAATGCTGACCTCATGGGAAACAAGCTTCTGCTCCTCTCTGCAGCCTTTTAAAGTCCATAAAAACTCAACACGACTTGTGTTGGAATGAAAGTGTGATCAGTGGGTGGTGTAAAAAAAAATGTATGTCTGTATATATGTATGTACAAATCTAAAGAGCAGTATTCATGTCAGGAAAGATTTTTTTTTTCCTCGCAGTGTTTGAAGATCTCTAGGCTGGCAAAGTCCAAAGTAATGGGAGAGCATTACCTGAAACACTATGAGGAGGGGCTAAATTATTTTGCTTCCATCAAAACTTATTCTTTATTGCCATGTTTCATATGTACTTTTCTGAATATCCAAGTGGGATTTTCTGTCTGTCATAAAGGACTGTGAGGTCTTAGTGTTTCTGCTCATGTTTTCCACCACCTCGAAAGATTAAGGCTGTCCAGCTCTATCAAATGAGCATACATCGGTACAGGTGATTAATTGAAGATTTTGCCGGGAGTATATTGTCTTACTCTATGCCCGACTCAGCATTAGCTCAACTATATCAGTTACAGGGTGATCTAGCGGTGAAAAACATTTTTAAAAAATTGTAAAGCCACTTTTTTAATTTATTAGTTATTCGTGGTTTGAAATGATGCTTTATAATACCTAGTTACGGCATCTGAGTGTACATATTTTGGAGTTTAATGTAGGTGTACATTGCTCCTGACCTGAACCGCTGCCTGTTGGTGAAGTCACTTTTGAAAATTAGATTTTTAAAAATCTTTACATGCTGATAAAAAAATAAAGGAGCCTGAAGGAATTTGACTATTTCAGAGGTTCCAAAGTGTTTCATGTTGATTTGTTGTAGGTGATTGACATGTTCAGATTTTTTAAAAGCTTTTTATCAATACCACTTTTTTTTTACTGAGACTACATATGCATACATGTGTATATATATATATACAGTATACATTCTTCTTATACTCTGTCATGATCTATGGTATTTGTGTTTTTATTTTCCTTTCTTTTAATTATTTTTGTTTTGCATGGTTTATTTATTTTCTATCCTTTGAATTAAATTTAGTTTTTTGTTCATAGAAGATATTTTGTTTGCACTCTGTGTTGTGGTTTAACTATTTGTATACTTCTCTGTGTGTCTCTGATCAAATTTATTCATAGTTCCTTGTAGATTCTCTTTTAGTGGATTTTTTGTTTGATATAATAACATTATAGATTATGTTTTAGATCATTTTTGTGATCATTATACTAGCTCTTTAAAGCCTGATCTAAGAAACAAATATAGCTAATTATCTAAAAGTATTTATTTGTCCCTTAAACAAAAAGGAAAAAAATCAGAAATCATTTTTTAATATTCAGCATTTATTGCTTTGTGAGAAGTGTAAATTATTGTCATGTTGTCTTCTGCCCACTGTTTACTGGTATATTTCATAGTTCACATCATGGTTTTGAACAAAATGTTCCCTATCAAATTATGCAAAAGGTCTTGGATGCAAACCATTTCAGAACTGTATGTATCAAATATTATATATTTGGCATTATAGAGTTAGTTACTTCACATCCCATTTGTGATCATCTCCACGTTTACATTTGTCTCCCGTTAGTTATAGCTGCAGCCACCTAATCTGTTCCCCTCAGTATATATCCTCCCTGGTAAAGCTCACCCCTTGTCAAATACTTGCTGCTACTGCCATTTCATCAGCTTCAGCAATCTCACATTTGATTTTATTTTCTTCGGACCGCATCCTACTGCTGAATCAGGATTCTTAAGTCTGAGGTTTCTTTCAACTCAAAGTCCTCTGAATGGTTAAATGAAAGTTTGTAGACTCACTGGAAGCAAAATGAATAATTCGGCTGAATCAGTTTGCTGACTGGACTCAGGGATCTCACCAGAAACATGGGTCAGATGATTTGGTTGGTGATGATTTGACATAATAAGGTTGGTGGATATCATTATTATTAGATTTTTTTACAATTGTTATCATAGTGATGATCAGATGTATTGCCCAGTAATACTGGCCCAAGTGAACTGGATCACTGGAAATAACCAAATCAATAAATTGAAGTTTACCACCTTAAACTTAAATCACACAATAGTTCTGACTGATATGCAACGACAGCATGCTACACAAACTCTATTTAGTACTTTAAAGACAACTAATAAGCGTTTATGACAAGCTAAACACATTAACGAAGAGCTAAAGTGAAAGCCTGACACTCAGATGTATTATTTTGTTAGCTCATTGGACTAAAGTTTTCTCGATAAGAAAATGCAATAGGTCTCAGAAATCTTTGCATCAAATTTGATACGTATGATGTTATATGTCCCACAGCAGAAGATTATAATCTGTAACTGTTTACCATAATTGATGATAACTAAATATATTCTGTCAGAAGGTAATTTAACATTAGAATGTAAGAGAGCTTTTTAAACCTTGAAGATAATGTTAAAATGGACTCTTGACACAATCTAACCCTAACTTTAACAATATTAGCACATGCTTGTATTAATCATCAGATAGAGAAACCTAGAGCAATCTAAGAAAAAAACAAAAATGTATTTACATATTGTCCCTAAATTGTTTTGCATAGGCTGTAGGGCAGTTAAGTTCTATATGTGCTGGATTGTGCAGGACTGTTTGTAGTAGTAATATACAAAATAATGAGATTTTTTGCAATTCACTGATAGCAGGAGTTACAATGAGAAGCAAGTGTTTGATGCAAGTGTAACTTGTTTTGTGATGTAAAACCTTACAAGCATTTAAATCAGACAGGGAGTTCCATGTGTGTTTGCAAATTTTGAGGTATCTTGAAAAATAATGTGTGTATGATCTCTGGGTCTGTGACTTACAGTGATAGGAACTGATCTCCAAAGTGACAGGGCTAATCTCTCAGATAGTGTGCTACTCTACTCGTCCTGTTGAGCTCCAAGTGGCTCTCTGATCATCTTGCATTAAAGCTAAACACTTTGACTGATTTGGAGGAAAATCTAAATCAATTTGCACTAAGGCCCTCAAATCAAAGCTGTCCCCCCAGGCCCTTGAGCTTGTCATATCTCCTTGGTGTTGAATTGACATTTTGACATGCAAAGTTAGATTAAAAATGATACAGAGAGAGCAATACTGGAGGATAGAGAAAGAGAAGTTGATTTTTTTTCCCCCATCCACTTCCAACCCATCCATGAGATCAAGGCAGATTGGGAAACATCACTACTGCACATATCAGTCAGTCATGGAATGTCAGTCAACATTGTCATACTTAAGGTTACCCCGTAGTTGAGCATCTTGTTATGGAAGTGTCTATATAATGTTGTTTTCAAAGAGGTCATCTTATATAGAGAGGGACCAGGCGAAATGAAGGCAATGATGAACAAATTAATCTGGCAGGTGATGGACGAGAACAATGAAAGGCAACTTGGGGAGGGAGAAGCTGACTGACAGGGTAGATTGAAATTTGGACCAGAGAGGAGTAACAGGCTGATAGACAGATGGAATGTGACAAGCTTAAGTTGGTGTGTGACACCTAACACTATCAGACGTTAGGAGACAGCAGCATGACAGTTGTCGCATTTGACGGACAGAGGGTTGTCACAGTAAGTAAAACTAGTGAAGGTTGATTGGCACAGGGAGTTTTATCAAAGTTTTTTTTTTTAGCATTAGCATTTGTGTTGTATGCACAAGTATTTGTGTGTTATGTGCAGCAGCAATCAGGTATGGAAGATTGGCGTAATGAACCCAATGACGAAGTAGTACAAAGGGGTTATGGAAAAGAGGGATCAGGTCAGGAGGAGGTAAGTGGCCTTATCTCTTTCTCACACACATATATGCTCATACAGAGGACGTGGTCCATTCACGGTGACACCGATAGTGGCGTCTCAGCTTGCATTATTAAAAGGAAGGGCTGATTATTAGTTTGACAGTTTTGGGTGGGCCCAGTCCATTACACTAGTTTTCCCAATCTGAACTCTACTAAAGAGCTGTCAGTCTCCAATGTTTTCTAGAATTAAGGTTTTAAAAAACAACCAGAGCAAAGATCTAGAAATAGTGAAAATTTTGTGGAATTGAAAACGATGGACTACGCTTTTGATCATATATGTATTTTAATTTTTCCTTGTGTTCTGCTTCTGTAATTTCTTGTACTTTTTAAATGTTGAGAGGCTAATGTATTTGTGGATCAATCTTACACAATTTTCAGGCATCATCGATTATTCATGACTGCAGGGTTACAGACCAACCCTACTTAATTATTTTGTTAATATTACTTTTTTCTGATCATATCCATGGTCACTCTTTAATTAGAATTAACTGCACTCTAAATGGAGGTTTTTCAGTGAACATTAATATGAATTGTTAACTAATTAATCATCTTATTGCTGACTCTTAATTTATGTATTGCCACTCTTTTCCTTATCACCAGCGAGTCTCAATTAGCAGTAGACAATTTCAAATTTTAACAAGCAACTTCAAAACTGATGTTTTGTCCAAAATCTCAATATATTGTTTCCTGTTACGATTCATTAGGGTCATTCCTTGACCTCTAAACTAATATGATATCATGGCCAGTGTGTAAGTGAACAAATCAAGCATGTCATGGTTACTGGCAGTGAATGCATGCATGCTCACTAATGGGCAACGGCTATGACGTCCAGTGTCATGATATGGTTCAACCCGGCAATGTCACAGAGTTGACAGACCTATTAGTAGGAAAGGGGGGTATTGACACTGATAGCCCATGACAGGGTGAGATGAGGAGGGTTTCTGTTGACACAGAAATCTCCTGAAAGGACAGGACAGTAGGAGGAGACACATAAGAAAATAGATACACTGTAAGCTTGTTGTCAAGAGGCTGTAGACGTATTCCAAAAAGTTGAAAAGGATTAGTAGTAATACCTGTCTGACTTATTTTCTGTGTAGAGAGGGAAATTATGAGTTGGCAACACCAGCGAACACATGAAAACCCTTTAAGAAAGAAAATGTTTGTTGACTTTACAGAGAATCCTTTACGTAGTGCTGTATGAATGTGTATACATATAAATTCTTCGGAAGAAAAATTAGAAACAGCACAATGAATAGCATAATCTGTTGAAATATAAAAAAAAACATACATGGAAATAAAGTACATGAAGCAAAAAAATATTTTGGTAGTCTTCAGTGTGACTTCTTTTACTCTTGAAAAAAGTCACACTGCATGGTTGATAGTACAACTTTACCTATGACCGAAAATGTGATTGCTTCAAAAGATTCTTTCTGGGAGGATGCAGTTCTACATAACCCAGTTACCATAAACAAAAAAAGAGAAAACAGTACTCCAATATTAATCAAATCTAAAAAATTCTGTCTAATAAGATGCTTATTTGCAGTGATTTTTTTATATTACAAAAATATGGGTTATTCATTACTGTTATGCTCACTAGTATTTTTTCAGAAATTACTGAATCATTACATGTTGCCATAGAAATCTGGTCAGTAGTGCAACAAATTAGCACACTTCCTCTTCATTTTAATGTACAACACACAATTGTTGTTGTAAATCCTACATGCCTCACTTTTATCCATGGTTCATATATTTTGTTGATGACTAATGAATAGAGTATTTTTATGTCTAATGAATAGAGTATTTTTATTTCTTTGAGTATGAACAGTTTTAGTCTCTCCAAGTAAATATTTAATGGGATAATGTTTAATGTCAATACAATATATATTCCCTACTTAAGAGTAAACTGAGTATATAAATGGTGTGTTTAGGTTTCCTGTATACCACTGCAAGACCTCTGTCCTCTACATTGTACACTTTTCAGTCTAAAAAGGTTAGCTTTTGGTCGTTTGCATCCTCGCTTGTGAAGTTGAATTTGGATCTTAGCCCAGACATCCAAATATCTGAAGCAGTGACTGGATGAAGTGCATTTGTGTGAGCTTAGTTCTTTACTTTTCTACTTTCTCCATGTAAAGCTGAGCCACTATCTGAGACACTGGGGATACAATGGCACACCAATGCTTCTGTCTGTAGAAACCATACTTTTGCCTGAAATATATGGTGGAGAGCTGAGGCTCATGAGGACACAGATCTGCTTAGGAGAGAAATTGGTTCTGTCATTCATTGAACCATCTTTCTGCAGCTGTTTCTTGACTCTCCATTGCCACTCTCGATCTGAATGCAAGTATTAAGTGAGGTCACGTCAAAAATCCCAATTATTTCTTTTTGATAGCAGGTTCAGATGGTGGATCTTCCTCATAGAGTGGGTGGAGTTCTTTCCATGATACAGAGTGTTTCCTACCAGGATTGTTGTAGATGACCGAGTTGATGCACGGTACAGCCTCAGCAGGGTGCATTATCTTCAAGAACTTATTAAAAATAAACCCATGGATTGCTTTTGTTACCAGAGACTTTACCCTACTGTTGTTACATCACGCATCAGCTACATATTTCAGTAAGGTATAATTTCACAAAATACACAAGGAGGAAGTCCCCATTAATCCCCTAAAACATTGCTAAACAGGGTGTACACCACCTCTTGCCCAATGGGATAAGCTCCAGCCACCCCAGGAACCTAATGAATGAATGAATTAATTAATGTACTCCTGAGGGAATTAAAAAAAAAATCAATCAAAGGACTCTCAAGAGAATCAGGTAACACAAAAGAAAGCTACATGGCTGTGACAATAATCACATGTAGACCAACTAAAAAGAGCTGTTTAGTTACAGATAGAGTAAAACCTTGAAGCAGGATTAGACACAGGAGTGTCTCTCCCAGAATATTTGTGGATATGCACAAAATACTTAGTGTTATGTTATTATTTTAATAAGCAAGTTTTATTAGAATACAGTAAGTTATGTTGATGTTTAAACAGCACAGCACACATTGTACTTGTAAAGATATCCAAAGCCAAAGTGTGTTTTATATGTGAAAAAAAGCTGGCCAAATGACTGAAATCATGTCACAAATTATGTTTAGCTACTCAGCATGAGAAACATGTCCATTAGACAAATACAAAACACTAAAAAGGTTGAAGTCCAGGCTTGCTTCTATTTATCTTTTTTGATGGATTAAGGAGACAGCCTAAAGCTAAATTTGATTCCTCAACGGAGAGACATGTTTTTGTGTCTTCTTTGGAAGTCGCTTTGGATAAAACCATCTGCTAAATGCATAAACATAAACTCTAAAGCCTCGTCCCCATTATCAGATGGTTGGCCATTAAATCTGTGTTTAAAAAAAAATATATATATATAAAAGAAAATCCAATATGGATTCACTAAATCAATGTTTCAGATGACTAATCTAAAGGTATTGAGGAACAAGTTTGTCAGGAACAACTTTTCTTTGCGAGAAACTCGTGAAGTGGAAAATTCCAAATGCAGTTTATTCAAAAACATGTATTTTATTAAATTAACTGGGGTATCTATCAAAGCCTCCTTATTAAAACTTAAAGGGCGGTGGATTTAAAACTTTGTACATGTGTGTTACTATGTTTAAACCATCCACCATTTTTAGCATCAAACCATTGTCTTTGTTTTTTTCTCTTTCTCTCATTCACTATATGTTGCAGCCAACCATCCTTAGTTTCTCCCCACAATGCTGCAAGCACACAAACAGACTCCTTCCACTCACCAGGGTGTAATCTCTCTTTGTTTACACTGCCAAGGGGTTATTTGGCTGTCTGTTAGAGTGTGACACAGACAGCGCTACACTGTCAAAGACAGCCTTAGCACATTGCAGACAAGCAGATTCCGTATTCGGTGTATCTAGCACATCAGCCCACACTGACAGTATGTGACGCCGCACAATACGCTCTTACAAACAGGATCCAGCCATATGTCATGTAAAAATTAAACTGGAAAGTAGCCATTCGCTATGTATACAAAAATCTTGACCTGCCTCAATATAAAATGACAAGGATTCTAAATTTTCTATGATGGAACTATGTTAAATCAACTCTTTGGCCTCTCATGTATGCCTGTACAACCTCCATATCTACCATATTTACATGGTGAGTGTTATATATTGGGAAATATTAGGGACGGAACTATAGTCAAATTGGGGGTTGCCCCTCCGGGGGCCAGTTACAGTGTGGGACGTTCCAGTTGGAACGGTTGTATTTTGCCGGATGATTTTCCTGAAGTAAAAGAATGACAACTAAAGTCCCCTGCCTCCGTGTGGATTGAATGGATCGATTCTTGGACACTCGGTTACTACATTGGCGACGAGGATTAAAACTGTGAAGCGGACTTCCAATTTAAATCGGAGCAACGCACTTTAAAGTCGTAACCATGGCAACCGTTGGGACGCTCAGTGAGTACGTGGAGACTGACGGGGATTGGGTGGAATATGTCGAGAGATTGCAGCACTTTTTCGTGGCAAATGACATTAATGACCAGTCAAAACAACTGTCAGTTCTTCTCAGTGTATGTGGAGCCAAGACTTACAAACTGATCCGTAACCTAGCGTCACCACGGAAACCGGGAGATTTAAGCTTCCAGGACATAGTTAAACTGGTGCAAGATCACCATAACCCCAAGCCATCAGTGATTGTGCAGCGTTTCAAGTTCCACACACATTCTCGCAAGCAGGGAGTGTCAGTGCCTGCATTTGTGGCGGAACTCAGAGCATTATCAGAGCACTGTGAGTTTGGAGATGTCCTAAATGACATGTTGCGCGACAGATTAGTATGTGGAATTAATGACGACAGTATTCAACGGCGGTTGTTGAGTGAAGCGACGCTCACTTACAAAAGAGCACTGGAGATCGCCCAGGCAATGGAAACCGCGGCAAATAACATAAAAGATATTCAACAAGCAAGTGGAGGAGCGACGCAATCGGACGCGGTGCATCACGTGACTAAAGACAAGACGGGTAAGCACCAAAAGTCCGTGGAGTGCTACCGTTGTGGGGGACCACACTTTGCAATTGACTGTGGTTTCAAAGACTCTCTGTGTCACAACTGTCAGAAGAGGGGTCACATAGCCAAAGTGTGCAGGGGCAAAAACAAACAAAAGAAGGAATGGGGTGGAAAGCCAAGGAAGTCTGCTCATCACCTGCAGGAGGAGGAGGAGGAGCCTCAGGAAGGGGAAGAGTCTTCTTATAACATGCTCAATCTCCATGCCATCAACCAGCCCAAGGCAGAGCCCATCTATGCTACACTGAAGGTGAATGGTGCTGATCTGAAAATGGAAGTGGACACTGGGGCTTCTGTGTCTGTGCTGAGTGAAAACGCATATCACCGACTTTGGAAAGCAACAAAAGCACCTGCTATAAAAAAGTCAGACATAAAACTGAGAACATACACGGGTGAGTGCATTCCCATAATTGGGTCAATTGAGGTTGACATTGATTATGAAGGACAGAAGGCGGCAGCAAAGCTGTTAGTGGTCCAGGGGGAGGGGCCTAGTCTGATGGGTCGCGATATCCTGCAGAAAATCCGCTTACAGTGGGGGAACATCTGGGGAGAAGTGAAGCACATGACAGCAGTGCAAGACATCATTGCCAAGTATTCAGATGTTTTCAAGGAGGAGCTGGGAACCCTCCGTGGCACTACAGTGAAATTGGCTGTGGATCCCAAAGTTCAGCCTCGGTTTTACAAACCACGTCCTGTGCCATATGCCATGAGGGTTAAAGTGGAGGCAGAGTTAGAGCGGCTGCAGCAAGCAGGGGTGATTGAGCCGGTGGAATTCTCCAGCTGGGCCGCGCCCATAGTACCGGTGATGAAGGAAGATGGTGGAGTGCGAATCTGTGGAGATTACAAACTGACAATTAACCAGGCCTCCCAACTCGACACATACCCTCTACCTCGAGTGGAGGATTTGTTTGCTACGTTAGCGGGTGGCCAAACATTCACAAAGCTGGATATGAGTCACGCGTACCAACAGCTTCTGCTAGATGAGGAGTCAAAACAATATGTGACTATTAACACGCATAAAGGGCTATTCAAGTACAACCGCCTGGCATTTGGTGTCGCATCCAGCCCAGGTATCTTCCAACGCACGATGGACAACCTGTTTCAAAGCCTTCCACATGTAGCAGTGTACCTGGATGACATTTTGGTCACAGGAAGTACAGAGGAGGAGCATGTGCGGAACCTCGACCAGGTACTGAAGAGGCTGTCTGAGGCGGGACTGCGCCTCAAGCGTAGTAAGTGCGTTTTCCATGCTCAGAGTGTCACATACCTGGGCCACCGAATTTCGGCTCAGGGTCTGTCCCCAGTGGAAGAGAAGGTGAGGGCGATAAAGAAGGCTCCGAGCCCGAAGAATGTAGCAGAGCTCAGGTCCTTCTTGGGGTTAGTGAACTATTATGGAAAATTCTTACCTGACCTCTCCACTGTGCTGGCCCCGCTCTACCAGCTGCTGCACAAAAACAGTCCGTGGAAATGGCAGCAGGCCCAAGCAGAGGCATTCCAGCAAGTAAAGAGACTGTTGCATTCAGACCGACTGCTGGTGCACTTTGACCCTGCTAAGGAGGTCGTCCTATCCTGCGACGCGTCCCCTTACGGCCTGGGGGCGGTCCTTTCACACCGACTGGAGAATGGAACTGAGAAGCCCATTAGCTATGTGTCACGGACACTGACCACAGCAGAAAAAGGGTACTCACAATTGGAGAAAGAAGGACTAGCTGTAGTATTTGCGGTGAAACGTTTTCACCAATACTTGTATGGTCGTCGTTTTGCGATTTTCACAGACCACAAGCCCTTAATGGGGCTGTTCAGTGAGTTGAAAGGCATTCCCCCCATGGCATCTGCAAGAATCCAGCGGTGGGCACTGACCCTGTCAGCATACCAGTACCACATAGTATATAGGGCAGGTAGTGAAAATGGAAATGCTGATGCTTTCAGCCGCCTACCACTGCCCGACACACCGAGCCACACCGCTTTCCCACCAGAGACAGTTTTTCTGATGGACAGACTGGCAACCACACCAGTGACCGCAAAGCAGATTAAAACATGGACTGAGAGGGACCCAGTGTTATCACAAGTAAAGAGGTGGGTGATGCAGGGCTGGCCGGTTGCAGTACGGGAGGAGAGATTCAAGCCATATGCAAAGCGGAAGTTAGAACTGAGTGTTCTGGATGGCTGTGTCCTCTGGGGCTCCAGAGTGATCGTCCCCCTACCAGGGCAGGCACAGGTGATGGAAGCCCTGCACGAGGCCCACCCGGGTGTCTCTCGAATGAAAAGCCTGGCTAGGTCATTTGTGTGGTGGCCGGGGATGGACAATGCATTAGAAGAAAAGGTCAAGAAATGTTCACAATGCCAAAGCAACCAGAAGATGCCGCCGGCTGCCCCACTGCACCCTTGGCAGTGGCCTAGCCGTGCTTAGTCCAGGCTGCACATGGATTTTGCTGGTCCGTTTATGGGTCAGACGTTCCTGGTGCTGGTGGATGCACATTCAAAATGGCTGGAGGCCCAGATCATGTCAAATATGACAGCGGCCGTCACCGCGGACAAGCTTAGAAGCATCTTTGCCACACACGGCTTACCAGACACAGTGGTGACGGACAATGGTCCAACGTTCACCAGTGACATTTTCAAAGAGTTTATGGCTAAAAATGGGATCAGACATGTCTGCTCTGCCCCATATCACCCCGCCTCAAATGGGCTAGCTGAGAGAGCTGTGGAGACGCTGAAGGACGGATTAAGAAAAATGACAGGACATTCCCTGGAGACCAAGCTCGCTCGTTTCCTTTTCCAGTACCGGATCACACCACACACCACGACAGGGGTATCTCCAGCAGAGATGCTTTTGGGGAGGAGGCCAAAGTCACACCTCGATCTCCTTCATCCAGACATCGCAGGCAGAGTGGTCCGGGGGCAGGACACACAAAAGATGAGGCGAGATCAGCACGCAAAAGACAGACTCTTTCAGCCAGGTGACGATGTTTATGTTAAGAACTTTTCTATGGGTCCGCCCTGGCTGCCAGGAGTTATTCAACACCAAACAGGACCTGTGTCCTTTGTTGTGGATTTGCTGGACGGCAGGCAGGTGCGCCATGATCGCCATGAAGCAGGAGAGAAGGAGCGTCAATGGGAGGCACAGAAGAACAGTGCAGTCAGCCCCGCAGGCTCAGCTGTCGTGCCCCAGGCACCAGAAGAAGTCAAAGTCACACCGGAAGAGCCAGCAGCTCCGGGCTCTCCGTTGGCCCAACCGGCAGCCCCGGGAACTCTGTTGGCCTCCAGGCCAACCCAGCTCGGGGAAGCACCAGAACCGAGGAGATCAATGAGGCCGCGTAGACCTCCAGACAGACTGACCTGCTAACGCCTGATGTTAATGAAAAATGAAGTTTGTGTTGAAGTCAGGCAACAGCCAAGGCACTTTAAGTTAATCCAAAGTTAGACAGAGAGGTACAACTGTTTTTAAGGTGTGCCATAATATGTTTATAGTTAAAGGGGGAGAAGTGTTATATATTGGGAAATATTAGGGACGGAACTATAGTCAAATTGGGGGTTGCCCCTCCGGGGGCCAGTTACAGTGTGGGACGTTCCAGTTGGAACGGTTGTATTTTGCCGGATGATTTTCCTGAAGTAAAAGAATGACAACTAAAGTCCCCTGCCTCCGTGTGGATTGAATGGATCGATTCTTGGACACTCGGTTACTACAGTGAGCTCTAAGAATTGTAGCTTGAAAATCAAAAACA